CTCCACTTCGCAGAGATGGGGGAGGAAAACGGCAGCAAGATGCCCAGTCAGCCAGGCAGAAGCCTGCGACCGGCTGGAAGGAGCCAGCGTAAATCAAGGGGTGGCGAGAGAGAGAGGGCTAAACTGAGAGAAAGCTCTGACCTTTGGGAAAGCAGCTGCAATGCCCAGATATGTAAGTGCCAAAGAGAATCTTTCCCCCAAGCTTGAGGGGGAAGTCCTTGGCCCCCGCAGGTCCTAGCCTAGCTAAGACTACGGGAATAAAAACTCCTCAGGATTTTTTTTCTCAGCTGGTCTTGCCGCTTTCCTTTACTGTGGGAAGGAGGGGTGGAATTCCCAAATAGTCTTCTGAGAAGCTCAGGTCTCGGGAGCTGGGATTTTCACAAAGTAAAAACAGGAGAAAAAGACAAGATAAGAGACACTTAACAGTGCCAAAAGAATTAATTTAGAAGAACTGTAGCTTAAAAGTGAAAAAAGACTTCTTTTTCTCCTGGACTCTTTTTGGAAGAAAGGAGGGACTTATGTAATGTAATATACTATCTTACTGTATCTGTAGAAGAAATAGTTAGGTTGTTATATATATATATGTATGTAAATAAACCTTTGTAAGTATTTTCCCCCTCCCCCAATGCTGAGTAGTTGTGTTTTGTCTGAAAACCCTCTCACACTGGGACAAATTGTGGGAGGGGGGGCTTGAACTTGGAAATTGGATTTCTGAAGGTCTCAAACCACCACAACCTGCCCGAAGCACCCTTCTGCCAGGGGCTTGCCCAGGATCAGCCTGTCCCGGGGCAGCTCCCAGCAGCACCCCCATGCTGGCCGGCGTCTCCGAGTATGAGTTCCCCGAGAACCCGCACTGGGAGCTGCCCCGGGAAAGGCTGATCCTGGGCAAGTCCCTGGGAGAAGGTCGCTTCAGGCAGGTGGTGCTGGCAGAAGCCATTGGCCTATACCAGCAAAGCCCGTCTATGGAGAGACCTGTCACCTTCAGCCACTGGAAGAGAGAAGAGAGAGAATTCTCTTATCTGCGCCTTTTTATATGTTGTGTTACGGAAAGGGATGATATGGAATACTTCCTTAGATTTCTGACCCCCTTGCTAAGGAAGGCCTAAAAAATCCAAAAAACCAACCCACTACACTTACTAAAGTGTACTAACTTTAGTTACTAACTAAAGTTACTGCACTGTTTTACTGGCTTGAGGGAAAGCACTTATATTATCTTGCTTTCTCCCCTCAAAACCAGCATAAAATGGTTTAGAGACCAGGAACAGGACAATATTTGAAGTGATGGAAAACTTTTTACGCTTAACTTCAGCAACTGGGGAAAACCATTCAGGAAGAAGAAAACTGGAACAAGACAACTGGAACAAAACACATTCCTCTTCTCCCCTTGCCTGAATCCTTTGGCTCAGTATAATCATTGAAAGGACAGCTTCAGTAATTAGGATGAAGGAATGAAGGTGATCAGAGTAGACAAGACAGGAGTTCCTCTGTCAGGATGTTCAGCACAAAAGGAATGTGCATATTTTTGTGCTGAAAAAACATCTTCTAGGAGCATAACACATTTCAGACAGAGCTGCTTTGTAATTAACAGCTTAGAGCAAAGGCAAAGGCATGTCTAATCCTCAGTCTAAACCTGGGTTCAAATTACAGCAAAGACTTGAAAGCTACTGAAATATCAGACCTAAGAACCAGCCAGACACCTTTTACTAAGAGAACAGTTCTTAATTCGGCTATTCCACAAAAATGTAATGGAAAAGAACCTTAGATGTCCAAAGCAGAGGACTCAAAATACATGAACTGAAGCAATTGAAGCTCTATGCACAGTTTTGTCAGACTGCTCGTGCATTTTAACATACAGTTTTTAACTACAGCATGAGGTTCCATGTAAGGTGTTTCTCATTCCAAGGGACTGAGCAGTGATTCAAAGTTTTATTTTATTCTCTTTGCTTGATACAGTCACACACACAAGGCCCAGAGCCCAATGTGAAAACTGACTTTGTAATCAGCTTTCCAAGGTGTTCATTATTGTGACACTAAAACGTTTTCACAATGCTGCAGTGGAGTGGCCCACTTCCCTTACCAAAAGAATGAAGGCCGAGAGATTTACTGAGGCAAAGAGATTAAAGTCACGAAGGCCAGCTAATTACAATCTTGCCTCTTGAATAGCCTGACTTTTCAGAATTACCTGTTCAAAGCAGACTTTAGCTGCAGCTATGAGCATTCTGCACATCTGCTCCCCTGACTGCAAATTTTCACTCATAATTTGAGGGAAGCACAATCCAAGCAAGGAGAACCTGTAAAAAGTGTGACTCCCAACACTTTTTCCTTCCTACGATCTTCACTTCATTCCTTATACATCTTTCCTTTCTTCAAAGATATGAAGAGGCCCTACAAACAACTGCCCTCTTTTCACAGACTTCCCATTCATTCCCTGCACAGGTTCAGCCAGTAAAGCATATGAAAGAGAATCTCTGTGGGAGGAGGAAAAAAAATTCAACTGAAAACTGTATCTGCAATAGCACTATAATACTAAAAGAATTCAGTTCCAAGAGGCAAATGTAAATGAAGAAGTAAATTAGACATCTTTAGAAGAGATGACCAAAGGTTCTGGACTATTTATTTGTATTAAATTTCACGAAGTTTTGGGACATTAGTGAACTACTTTAAAACTGAACTGAATGCTTTTAAAATATCAAAATAATTTTTAAAAAAGAAAAAGGAAGTAGCAAGGAGGGAACCAAATGCTGTCGCTCAGTCAGTATCATGAAGAAGACTCATTACTAAAAGACTATGCATTTTCACAGAGTCAGAAGTTCAAGCAGAATGTAAAAAGATTAGAGCAGGTTGGGACAAGAACAATATAGGTAATCAGAAAACTGAAAAATATGTTATCCCAGGCAATTTTTTTTCTAAGTTAGCAGAAAAAAGGTTAAGATTTAATCAACTACAATCTACACAGGGAATAAACTTCTAATAAGGGGATACTTTAACATGGCAGGTAAGAGGTGTTAAAGGTGCAATGACTAAATACTGGAACTGTGAAAATTAACTACAGACACAAGTCACAAAAGTATGACAGGAAAGCCTATCAGCAGACTAACTTACTGAAAAATGAGATGGATGCTCTTTGACTGTAAGTATTACAATTGAAATAATATGATTTTCTGAAAGAAACTGCAGGTTAAGCATAGCTTAATTAAGCACAGCACGATTAGCTCACAGAGGAAAGTAATACTGCACCAGAAACTTAAAAAAGCCTTTAGAGCTTTATGGGTAAGCAAACCAGGCTAAACCATTGCTGCAAAAACTGTTTTGTTCTTTCTAACATCTTTGTAGCCAGAGTTTTTAAGGACTTTTAGATTGTGCCTGTTGCTTTCTGTTTTTAAGTAACACTGACACCATCATACTAATGGAGAATCTCTAATTCAACTGCAGGACCACAAATCTCAGCTGAGAGAGGAAAATAAGTGTATCATTTTCTCTGCATGCCTGTACTAGAGAAAAAGAGGAGTTTCCAGGGGTGAGTCAACTTTAGTTGGAAGTGACAAGGAGATCCAGAGGTGTTTGACTTTGGTGGGAGCACTTTCCAGTGCTCCTTTCTCTCCAGCTTGGTATCTACCACCCCCCTCCACACTCAGCGCTGCATCCTGCTCATCTCTGCCTACCAACTGCAAATCCCAACCTTTCACTCCTTTATCTTGACACTGCAGCTCATATCAAATATAATGCCCTCCCAGGAGGAAAACCCTGCATCCTCCCCATGCACTTACTCCTTATCCACCTGCTTCTTTCTCCTCTTGTCTAGCCCTTGTCCTACCCACTGAGGAGCCTCAGTCACTTGCAGTCTTCTACAGTGGAATGAGAAAAGCACAAGAAGATAAATCTTTGCTTCTCTCTCACAATCTGCTTTCTCATCCAACTCTTTTTCCTGGCTTTTGCATCCTCCTTCCTTGCAGTTCCTAGATCCTTGCCTGTTCAATTCCAGCTTCCTCTGAAATTTATTATGGTTCTTAAACTTTCTTAATTTAATTTACAAGAGGTTTCCTTTCCTAATGGCAAAGGGAGCACCGAAGACACAAGGAATGAGATCCCTTGTCTTCAAATAAACACCTTATTAGCTCTGTGCTGGAAGAAACCTGGTGTAGCAAAATTTCTGAAAAGCCAAGCTCCAATGTTTCCAAGCATACACAAATACAGAATGAGAGATTTAACTTGGCCAGACAGAACGAAGTAAAAGACACGTTACCAGAACTCCCATACTTTAAACACACCACCCCATTACTGTGCTACCCTGTCTCCAGTGACACCAGATCAGCAGGAAAATGTGCAAACAGCATTCATCAAAGAACACGTTACTGAATCTTAACACATTAGTCTCTTCCTCGAGAAACAACTCCTCTGATTAGTTTACCTGGCTGTTTTAAGAACACGTGGGTAAAACAGGCACTGCAAGTCTTATCCCCAAAGGGCAGAGTTTGACAAAGTTAAGGCAGGACGGTACCAAAGGAGGGCTCCCCGATAAGGTTACCAACTCCATCAGCATTTACACAGCTCCTCTTCGGCCACAAAAACAGGGTTGCATTGTAAATGGACAGCGAAGGAAGCTACCGAGACCACCGTCCCATAGATCCAAAAGTTATCTCTGGCTGACTCCCCCAGCCCTGCTGCTGACGTTTATCCCGGGAAACCACTGACAGCCCAGCTCCCGCTCCCGCGAGGGACTGGAGCAGCACTGGGCTCCTTTCTCCAGGGACAAACCAGCCGCGGGGCCGCGGTGTCGGGGCTCCCGCAGCAGCCGCAGCCGAGTCCTGCCCCACGGCGGAGGGGCTGCCCGCACGGCCCGGGGACCGCCGGCCGACAGCCAGGCCGGGCTGCGCCCGAGGCGCTGGGTGAGCCCGCGGGCGCCCCGGACAAGCGCTCGGCCCCCGCGGTGCCCCGCCCCTCGGGCCGTCCGTGCCCCTGCCGGGCCGGCTCCGGCGCGGCCGCGGCCCCGCGGCTCTTACTGTCCAGGTAGTGCTCCAGGTACATTCCCGCCGCCATCTTGGCCCCGCGCACGGCGCTTCCGCCACCAACCGGACGCGCGCGCCCCCCGGAAGCGGCGCTGCCCGGCCGCGGAAGCCGCTTCCGCCCGTCCTGCCGGGCACTTCCGCCCGCCCCCGCCGCCATTTCGGGTCCGTGGGTCGGCCCCCGCGAGAGGTGAACGGGACGATGGGGGGAGTGGAGCATCGCTCCTGCGGGGAAAGGATGAGGGAGCTGCGCCTGTTCAGCCTTGAGAAGAGGCGACTGGGAGGGGACCTCATCAATGTGTATAAATACCTAAAGCGGAGCAGGGGGGAAGGGAGGGGGAGAGGATGGACGCAGGCTCTTTTCAGTGGTGCCGAGCAATAGGACAAGAGGCAAAGGGCAGAAACTGTTGCATAGGAGGTTCCACCTGAACATGAGGAAGAACTTACTGTGCAGTGACCGAGCATTGGAACAGATTGCCCAGGGAGGTTGTGGAGTTTCCCTCACTGGAGATATTCCAGAACCGGCTGGACGCAATCCTGTTCCATGTGCTCTGGATGACCCTGCTTGAGCAGGGAGGTTGGACCAGATGAGCCACTGTGGCCCCTCCCAACCTTACCCATCCTGTACTCTGAGCGCGGAAGTGCTGTTGATGTGTTACTATTGGTTTCCATTCACCATGGAATTCTCCAGTGAGGAGTAGCTGCTGCTGTCTCATTTATGAGACAGTCTTTGCTGTGAAAGGATTATGGTACAACACAGCTAAAGAATGGAATGAAGTTAAGACCGTTTTCTCTTTTCCTTCCTCTTGCCAGTACCACCTTAGTGACCACACACCACAAATCACTTCTGGGTTAGAGATCCTCATGCCATGGAGTTCAGGAGCTTCCCCCGCTGTCCTTTGCTACATGCACAGTGTGGCATTGTGCTGGGTTAAGAGGGTGAGGTCATGTGTGATTATGAAGGAACTGAGACAAAATTATCATACTTCTTTTGATCCTCAGGGTCTAGGATATGCAGGATTGATGTTCGAAGAGGTCAGCGTTAATCTAGCATCCTATACAGTTTAGGAGGCACTGGTTTTGTTTGGCAAATATTACATTTCATCCACCTTTCTGCTGGGTACTCACTGCCACCATTTTTTTTCCAGACAGTCTGTACAATGACAGTCACTGCTCAGGACTGAGTGCTCCCACATTCTGGCCATGAGGAGAAGTGACTAAATTTGGGTTTTTTTCTCTTTCCTCCCAAAGATCTTCCAAGACACTCTGCCTTTATTTATATGGATATACTGGGATTAAGTCTTCCAGCAGCCTCCACTGCAAGACTGAGGAGCCGTTATATAAATGAATTGCAGCTGTTTGAACTATCAACCCTCTTGTTGTTAAACTATTTGGTTAATTCAGAGATCCTCTGTGTTCTGAAGATGGTGTTTTCCATTCCTATTCCTACAGTCATTTAAGTTATTTATGACATATTTTTAATTATTCAAAACACATTTCTCAGTCTTTTCAGTTCTCATATGAAGCAGCTGGCTTCAGTTAGCTGAACATTATTGTTAAGCCTCACTCTAAAGTACTTCAAAATTCTTGTATAAATTGCCTTACACTGTTAATTAAGGGGAAGGATGTGGCTGTTACATAAAAAAAAAAAACCTGCTCCCTATACCATGTCTCAGTACTAAACCAGAATACCCCAAATGCATCCTGCCTGGGGCTACCAGGCTGAATGGAGCTGATGTTAAAAATTAGACATTCTCAGACATCACTAATTTGGTTAAGAGACCACCTGGGAATCCATCTTACCCTCCAAGCCAAGGCTAGGAATGTGTCAAAATACTAGACCACTGAAGTGGAGAGACAAGCTCCCTCTGGACTTCTTGCCACTGCAGATACAAACTACAAGGAAAGGAGGAGACACCTGCCGAAAATCTAAATGGTAAATCTTAGTAAAATGTACATACGTGTCTTTAACTTCATGAACTGCCACTGTGAAGTTGGAAAACAAAGGGGAGAGGCAGTTTTGTGTGCCTGGGTGGTCTCACAGCAGTAGAAAATAGCAATCCAGCACAAACTAGTTCCTGAGTTCTGAATCTAGAAAATTTGCTATTTTTGCTTTCTTTAGAAAGTCAAAGCATAGAGAAGTGCATCGCTCAGGGTTCCAGAAGCATCTTCACCTGCAGAGGGAGTGTTACCACGGTAGTTATTGGCCAGGGGTGTAATATTTTTTACAGTAAACACTTCTGCAAGTCAGAGTCCTGGCAGGGGCACAGATGATTTTACAAGAAGGTGCTTCCCCCACTGAAATACGCTCCAGAGGTCCACGGCTATTTATGTCTAACCCTCACCCAGCCTCATTCACTGATGCTGCTGTAGTAACAAAGCCACAGACGCTAACCCTGGTGGTTATCACACTCCTCCCCCTCAACCCAGTTTGCTACCACAATTACATCCTGTTGTTAAACCCACAGGTACCTCCTCCTGGTTGGATGGAGGGAGGGCCTGTGGGATGGGCAGGCGTGCTGCCCAGAAGGCCTGCGCACCTCACACCGGGGAGCTGAGCGGCCTACGGAAGCAGTCTGCAGCAGTGGTTCTCAACCTTTATTGATCTACAGATGCCTGTGTTTTCCCTTGGAAATGTAAACATCTGCATACCAAATTCAAGCCTCCAGCTTTTCAGTTACCTTAGAGACCTCTTAAACGTTGTCCAAGGACTAGGAGGTGAAGGCCAGTGCTTGAGAGGGATCCTTATGCATAACCCAACAGGAGGGCCTATAGCTTCACACTCTTGTTATTTGGTTCCCTTTTTGCTGTCGAGGTACATTCGGCTCTTCTCACTCTTTAACATTCTCAGTTCAGAGGTCCCTGCTCTCCATTTCCTGTCTTCAGGAAACACTGGATGTACCCACACTTCATTCTCACAAATAGCAAAGGATTGATCTGCAGCACTTGCCCACAAGGTGGTTAATCAGCTTTACAAATGAAAGAGTATGCCAAAGGCCACAGATTATACCTGTATCCATGTTTCAATAACATATCCTAATTCAGCAGCAAAACTAGGCATAGACTCTAGTTCTTTGGTGTCACGATTTCTTTTCTTCCATTTTTTTTTCATTCATTACACAGACACTACATGAAATCGAAATGTTTGTTGGACCAAGTTACTACATCTCTCTAGTACTTTGGTGTTCTACTACACAGAAACAAGAAACCATGCACACAAATTTTATCTGTTGTACCTGAAATGACGATTGAACAGGTACCTATCTTGTAGTTAAGAAAGTGTACAGAGCAATTTCATTCTATGTTCTGAAACTGTACTAGTAAACTTGGGCAGCTTTCAGGTACATTACCTGCAAAATATTAGAAGAAAATCCTAAACATGATATATATCCTTTAGTTGATATAAAGATGATAAAATAATCAATAAAAATATAGAAGACAGGCAGAATCTCATAATTATATTCTATATTAGGAAGAAAGTTGGATGATGTAGACATATCTGTGAGGTAATTAAATATTACCTATTGCCAATGAGATTTAGGAAGATGTTTAGTTCTACCCATTAAATAAAACATCCAAAAAGTTGCATAGCTAGAAACTGACAATCTGTAATTTGAAAAGAAGTATCTGGCAAGCAGATGGAAGCAATGGGCTTTCTTTTCCAAACAACTTTGAAGCTCTGAATGTGTTCCAGAAGACCAGCAAATACTTTAAAAGTATTTGAAAAGCAAATGGGCTCATCCAGGTTGCTGTAAGGCAGTTAACCTAACACTGACGTGGCAAAATCACAGTGTAATTGATAGGGGTTGCACTCAGTTAAGAAAAGAAGCATAATGCTCTTTGTTTGAATTTAAACAAAAAGATCTCATTAAAAGAACTAGACATCCTTGTATGGCATTGTAAGTTTGGTGACTCAAGATAACCATCTAGGTCTAATGTAGCAAGACTTGAAGTGAACACTACACAGCCTGGTAACTGAAAGGGAAAAGAAAGGCAACAGATAAGAAATACATGATGGAGCCAAGCCTTAATGTGAGACACCTAAACCAGCTCAATTTAATTTAGCTGTTTGGAAGAATGAATCCAGTGACATGATCATGGTCTATAATTCATTACAGAAGAAGAAAGACTTCTTATAGAAGAAGACTTTAATGTACTGAACAAAGGAATAACAAGACCCTATGGATTAAAAAAGAATATAGTAGTAAAACAGAATGGCAGTTTTAATGGCAGTGATAATCAACAAAAAAACTCTAATAAGGGATATGGTTGATTAACCATAAGGCTTTAAATTATGAAAGTCTTAAATCTTTCTTGAAGATTTAACCAAATTATAGACCAGCAATACTATCATTAGTCACAGCTAAGATTCAGTTACTGTTTGTGGGTGACTTTTCTAAATGATTTCCAGCCTACATGATGTTTCCTTTTAAAGCAATGATAATTTGTAAAATCCAGCTAAGAACAGACAATCAGCTCAGAAAAGGACAAGAAGAAAAAGTGCTACTGCCTTCCAGCAAAGACACAAGATGCAACCTAACACAGAACTCCAGAGTCATTGTCAAGTCTTCTTGGATAAGACATACAGAAACAAATGGATTGGCATCACAATGAAAATACAGGGTCAAAGAATTCAGGGAGCTGAAGAGGAAGGACCAGGGGATCTTGTTAAGAGAATCTTCCACTTGTGAGTGGGAGGTAAATAGTCGAACCATTGTTGGCTTGAGTGCACAAAGCTGAAAAGCTGCAGAACCTCAGGCTGCATCTCAACAGGGAAGGATTTTGTACAAGTTGTTAGATTTTGCGTCTTGCAGGTAGCAACTCTCCTTTTTAAACCACCTGAAGCACTTTGACAATGTTAAACAACCTTGGGAATCCAAAGACCTAATCCAAACTCAAGTAAGTGACAAAGATAATGAAAGTAAGGTATCTCCAATTATTTCCACATCAGCAACAGGACTCAGGGTAAACAGAGAAATAGGACATTCTCATTGATAAGAAAAAAAGAGGCCTGGAATAAAGTGGCATTTCTGAAACTCAATGGGAAGTCCCTTAGTAAGAAATAATTAGG